CAGAAATCAAATTGGATTCTACGTTACAGTGCCCTTCGTATCTAGCTATATAATCGAATCCAGCCTCGACTAAATACGGCCAGACACGGGTTTGTATCTCTAACTTAAAATTACGGATAAAGGGATCTAATATACGATCTCTCTCCTAATTTAATAAATATTATAAAAATTAATATATATATATAAACTAATAAGAAAAATAAAATAAAAAATTATTACCAATAATTAAAATTAAAATAGAATTTAAAAATATTACCGTATCAGCGAAATGCATTGAGATATGATTTCCATCTAAACGAAGCAGTCCACCTTCTATTTTATAACTGCAAAAAAATTAGTATAATACAATTTAATAAAATACTAAAATATAATTTATTATAATATAGTATAATATATTACATTCTAAATAGAATGTGATCGGGTTTGAGTTTTAAGAGATTTAGGGTTTAATATAATTTGAGAGGGTTTGGGTTTTGATATGGTTTGAGAGAATAGATGAGGAGATATTTATAGGGTTTGGGATAGGTTTGGCCAGATGGATATCATCAATTGGGGGAGTATGAACGGTTAAAATTAAATGAAAGGTACCATTTGCGCCTTTTTAGAGCGTGCCATAATTGCAGAAAGGCGCGGATGATCTTAGCCCAGCTGGCGTCACATTAGCGTAAGGCGTGGATCATCATTTGCATCTTTTTGCAATGAGTGCTAGATCGATAATTTTTTTTAAAAGAGTGTCTGATAGATAAATAAAATCTGTCAGGATGATTTTTGAGTAAATACGCCCATGATAATACATCAAATTTGATTTCTTTTAATAAAATGTTATTGATAATCATTTATAATATAAATACGATGTTATTCGTGATAAACTTGTAGGAAAAAAGAATCACTGGACGTGAAATATAGGACAGAAGGCTGCTGAGTAAGTAAAGTCGTGTTGTTGGTTGACTAATTTGTCGATATCAAGCTTTGAACGTTATTGATATGTAACAGTAAGAGTGTACTAAAACAGAGTAGTTGATTAAACACTGAAAGAAGCAGTTGATTAATGGGACTGGGAGATGAATCTGAAACATTCCGAGTCACCTCAGCTACTTTATTTCTCCCAATAAGCAAAACATGATAATACTTGCCATTAACACAAACCACTGTACCCATGTGATCTAATCTCACAAATCAATCTCCATTGTCAAACAACACACTATTCAACTAGGTTTCGCAAATCCAAAATTAATTTTATGAGTTTACATATGTATATTAGTAACGCAAATATTTATACCATAAACATAAATAAAATTTTAAAATTAAATCATTAATTAAATAAATTATTAATTAAAAAAAATTAAATTTTAAGATAAACGTGTGGTCACCATAAAAAAATTATAAATCCGCCACTAATTCAATAAATAAATAAATAAGATCTTAGAAATAAACGGAAATGTGGGGTTACAATGTTAATGCACCTTCCATCTTTTGGTGCACGTCTCACTAAAATGAATATTTCATTCAGTGTTTAATTATTTCTAATAAAGTTTTTTATTTTAAGAAATATGTTTATATAAATTTAAAATTTAAAATTTTTAAATATATATTAAATTTAGCTTAAAATATAAAAATTGTGTATTTTTTTTAACTTGAAATGATACTAAATTTATTGAAACAAAAGAAGATATAACCTTAATAATACAACCAATCAAAGAAAGAACTTTAAGGGCTATGTCTACCAAAAAAATTGAAACATAAATAAATAAAAAGAAAACTTAAAAGTGCAATAACAGTTGAAACTTTCTTTTGAATACGATGCCTACCATCTATATTTTAACCACAAAAAGACCACCAACAATTATAAATCATATACGAACGATGTGAAAATCTCTACACAATTACATATATACTATAGAGGTAGACGAACAAAAAGCCATAAGATAGAGGAAATGTGCCAAAAAGAAAGATCAACATGTAAAAATAATTAACTAAAGCATAATATGAGAAAGTAATGAAAAAGGTTAACACCAACTATCGACGATCAATCTAAAGACTGATGCCACCGTTCATAAAATTAAGAAAGATTTACAGTTGATAGGAAAAGGAAAGAGAAAAAATAGTTCCCTCCTTTTTTATATATAAAAAACTGTGTGTCAAGTATTGTTTAATCTAGGTATAATTTATGTCAATTATATAATAGTTACTTATTTTGATAGAATGTTAAATGTTAATCTAGGTTTTCAATCTCAAATTCAACATTTCTGATCTTTATTTTTCATATAAAATCTTTCATCAATTAGAGATTAGTTCATATATAATTTTGGGTAAATTATAAGATTGGTCACTTTTATTTAAATTTTATATATTTTTCTCACTATATTCAAAAATTATAATATTTGATTAACTGCTCTTAAACCTTTAAAAGATTAACATATATGATTAGAAAAAGTAAATCAAATAAATAATTTTTAATGTTTGAGTAAATTTTCGTTTTCTCTAATAAAATTTCAAAAGTACAAAATTTTTACCTTTTATTTGACTTCCCTATTTGATATTCTTCAAGTTTTTTTTTTTTTTTTGCAAATTAGAGACATAAATTACTCTTAGAAGCCTGCCTTTTTAACATAGATTTCAGCTGCTATTTCCTTTTCAACACAGATTGAAGATTCTTCTTCGCAAATTAATGTAACTTTATTTTTTTCTGAATGTAGTTAAAGTCAATTTAATATGATTTTTTAATCAACATTTTTCATCGTTAACCGTTATGGTACTGACGTAATAGTTTACGGTGGTTTATAATGTGACGGATAACTTGACAGATATATTAAATTGATAAACTCAATCATGACAGATGAATTATCACATCAACATTGTGAATTACTACGTCAGTACTGTGAACTATCATATTAACATCATAATAATCAACAATAAAAAATGTTGATCAAATAACTTTATTAAATTTATTTTTTGAATTGACAGTCCCTTTCATTTAAAAAAAAAAGTAGAATAACTTCTAATGGTTTGTTAGAATTTTTTTCACTAAAACATAATATAATAAGAAAAAGACAAAAACTGAAAAAAGTATTCCTTGAGAACACCAAAGTTGAAAAGTTGAGAGGGCTCCTGACTTTACAGTAAACACTAAACACAAAGCAAGTTAGATTCACAATAAAATTAAAATAAAAACACTTGTTATTAGTAGGGATGAGCATTCGAACGAGTCAAGTAGAGTAAATTTTTTTTGAATTATTCGAATTGATGAGTTATATTTTACAATTTGAACTTAATTGAAATTTTTTCGAGTCGATTCGAGTTATTTAAGTCAAGTTATTTGAGTTTTTATATCAATTTTATTAGAATTATTTATAGTTTTATGACAATAATTTATTCCATTTTTTACTTTCTCTAACCATATAATATATATATATATATATATTATTCTATTAATATTATAATGTTATTTAATATATCAAATACAATTTAAAATTATGAAATATATTCATAATATTATATTTTAAAGAAATTATTTTGAGGGTAAAATATTGATGAGAGTATAAAGGAGTTAAGGAATTGATGGGAATAAACAATTGTAGTTAAAATATCAAATTGAATAAAATGCAAAGTGAAGGGATTAAATAAAAAAGAAAGTACAATTTTAGTAAAAAAGTAAGAATTGAAGTTACATAGGTATTCTATTGTGGTATATGAGCATGTGGTTCAAATATGGTAAAAGACATACTTAAATAAACGAATTTAAGAAATAAGGAAAATATGAAAGATTAAGGACTAAATTGAAAAATAAAAAATGTGCTATCAAAAAGAGGAATTGAAAGTACATATGTATTCTACTATGGTTTATGAGCATGTAGTTCAAATTTGATAAAAAATAAACTTAAAACGAATGAGGAATTGAAGGAATATTTAAATAGGGACAAATTCATAAAACTGTCAAAATATTTATTCAAATTTTTTATTTTTCGAGTAACTCAAAAATTTTATTCAAAATTTCTACTCGTCTCAAACTCGAAAACCGAATTTACAATTCGAGTTAACTCAAATAACTCGAAATTAATTTTTTTTTATTTTTCGAGTCGAGTTTTACTTCCTAGTTGTTGGTCAAAATCCATGTGTATTGAATATTATTAGCTATGTTCAATGTCCACGGTATTTTTTAAAATGGTGTGGAAGTTATAGTATCAAGGTTTGCCTTCCCCAACCATCTTTCTTTATTAAGCTTTTATCAACTGTCACTCTCTCCACCGTACTCTCTAACTCACTCAATTTATAAATCTGGTTTTAAAAATGATAACATCGGAATTTAAATTTTAATCTTTGAAGTATCAATAAAAATACTAATAATTGTTTGAAAAAATATTTATGTTCCATTGAACTCTAGCCAATTCGAATTGAATTATCTTATTATATATTCATATCATGTAATATATTTAGAGCTATTATCTTATTAAACTAAGGTAATTACAAAGTAACATATATTAAATATTCTCAATCATTTGATAATGAACACTTAATCACTCTATTACAATAATTGGTGTTTGAATACTTGATTTCTAAAATTAACAATAATTATTTTAAGCATTGAGATATTAATTCTTGTCATATAATTAAATAAGTACTTTATACCATTAATAATAAGGGGGGATTGGTGCTGAGTGTTGACTTGGTTACTTTTGAAAGGTTCTGACGGCCGACTCAGCCTGCTTGGATTAAAAATGACATATCATGTCTCTGATTATTGAATCTCTCATGTAAAATAAATAAACAAAAGAAGGAAGTTTCTTTCTTAATTAATAAAAGTATTTTATATTAATAAAAAAGCTTCCTCCATCTTTTTTCTCTTCCTATAAATACTCAAGCAAAACTCAAAGCCATTTGTTCATTTGCCCCTTGCTATGCAAATCTTCTTCATCACCAACAAGATCCAATCTTTTTTATCTTCTCTCTACTCTTCTCCATCTTTCTTATTCTATCGAAAAGATAACTGACAGAGCAAGCAGTAAACAATGGTGATAATATCAAAACCAGCGATTGAACAGTTCTCTTATATCAGAAACAAGCAGCCAGCCGCCGCATTGCTCCCTCCTCTTATCCCTATCGTAGACCTCTCGAAACCGGATTCCAAACACCAGATAATCAAAGCCTGTGAAGAATTCGGATTCTTCAAGGTGATCAACCATGGGGTTCCCATGGAATTCATTTCCAAGCTGGAATCTGAAGCCACCAACTTCTTCTCTTTGCCCCTATGCGAGAAAGAGAAAGCAGGGCAGCCCAAACCTTATGGATATGGAAACAAAATGATCGGTCCCAATGGCGATGTTGGTTGGGTCGAATACCTCCTCCTCATGACCAACCAAGACCCCAATATCGCAACTCAAAACCCAGAAAGTTTCAGGTACTTTTTCTTACCAGAGACAGGGTATCTGTAATGTTTTGTTACTGGTTTCTGAAACTGTGTGTGTGTTTTGCTGTTTGTTTGCAGGGTTGCTTTGAATAATTATATGGCGGCGGTGAAGAAAATGGCGTGCGAGATACTGGAGATGGTGGCGGATGGGCTAAAGATTCAACCAAGGAATGTGCTGAGTAACTGATGATGGATGAGCAGAGTGACTCTGTTTTCAGGCTTAATCATTACCCTCCATGCCCAGATGTTGTTCAATCTCTGAAAGCCAATGTGATTGGATTCGGCGAACACACTGACCCACAAATCATCTCGGTTCTAAGATCAAACAACACTTCCGGCCTTCAAATCTCTCTTAGAGACGGCTCTTGGATTTCAGTCCCACCTGACCACCACTCATTTTTCATCAATGTTGGTGACTCCTTGCAGGTAAAAAGAAAAAAAAAAGAAACTTTCTTTCAATCCAAACAGATGAAACCAAGAAAAATTCAAATTTTTAAACGATTGGAATGGATTTCATCAGGTAATGACGAATGGAAGGTTCAAAAGTGTGAAGCATAGGGTGGTGGCCAACAGTGTGAAATCAAGGTTGTCGATGATTTATTTCTGTGGACCACCATTGAGTGAGAAAATAGTACCATTGCCATCTTTGATGAGAGGAGATCAACCAAGCTTGTACAAAGAGTTTACATGGTTCGAGTACAAAACATCTGCTTACACTTCTAGATTGGCCGATAACAGGCTCATGCACTTTGAGAAAATCGCTGCCTCTTAATCTTTCATTATTTTTACTTTTTTTGAGTAGAGGAAGAGAAAAATAGAAGTAGAAAGCTCTTTAGGATCAAATTTTCCTACACTTGGGAATAGAAACTGTGTAATTTTTTAGTTTTTCCTTTCTTTTCGACTTTAACGGGGCTTGTTTTTGTGAATGTAACCATCTTTCTTGTTAATACAGTAAAAATATTTCTTTCATCAACCACTTTCGTTAAATAAAGCAAACTAATAAGGTGATGAATTGTTAAACGTGAGTTATTTCAGTTGGTTAATGATTTCATTGATTATTAAAAAATATTAGTATATATTTAAATATATTTGAGCATACATAAAAATAAAGATAGAAAAAGACTGTCATGGGTTATTATTTTTTAATAATTTAAAACGATTAAAAGATATTATTTGTATAAAAAAGTTTCAACTATTGATAAAGTACATATTTCATAAATATAATTATTTGAACTCAAAATTTTTAAAAATAATATTTTTTATCACATAAATCGCTTAAAATACTTTTAAAAGATGGTATAAATTAGTCGTATTCCTTACTTTCTCAATTTTTTAATATAAAGTGGGTTCAAGTTTTCAACTTTTTAAATATTATAATTATAATAATATTAGTAAAAAAGATCTCGATTAAGAAAACATATATTATTTAAAGTGACTGAAAAACTATAAATTTAAATTAAAATGCTGACTATTAATTTGTATGGACAATAAATTACATACATACATAAATAAATATACAATAGCACATAAAAGGAATATTAGTTATGAGACAGCATCCAAAATTGGGTGGTGAAGCTATACAATATTTTATTAGGGTTTCCTCAACAAAGAAACTATAATTGAAGATTCTTGCTCCTACTTTCAACAACAACTGGGTTAAAAATAATACAAGCAACTGAATTTTTTTACACCGTCAATTATGTAAAATAATCATATGACATGACATAAAACATGTCGATTTGTCGATGTATTAAGTTTTATTTTTTTATACCAGACCTTGGGATTAAATTATTCAAACTTTACGTGCAAATTATTCCTCGAGTCCCAAAATGAAAATGGTCTTACTAGCTAAAGTCAATAGAAAACAATAGTTATTTGACATGAGGATTGTAAAGAAAGCAATTATCAAAATAATAGTTGGTGTCTACCTAATCACAATTGTAATAATGAAAGTACTTGTTACATCACTTATCGTGTTACCTTTGTTTATTTATTATAAAAAAAAATCGATTTAAATTAATCCATCTTTTATTAAATGGATTGATTTAATTAAATAAATTTTATAATGATAAAAAATTAATAAAACCAAATTTTATTTTAAACCAAACTTTATATAGTAGAATGAAATGTTTCTCTTTGGAGAATTTGGATTTAAATAGTTATGTATGTATGATATGTAGTGTATGCATTATCATTTATTCATAGATTAAAAAAATCTAAATAAATTGTTAGCTTTTTCGATCAATTGGAAACCACCAAGAGGAAGATGAATTAACCTTTAAAAAATTTGTGTGAAAGTAACTGAAAGATAGAAAGATTTGCACAAGGATCTAGAGTGGTTCGACTTTCTAAACCAAAGTTTACATCCACTCAAATACACTAGATTTGTTAACATTTGAGGGCAATGAGTAACCTTACAACACTTCAAGGATTATACCCAAACTTTGAATACACACTCTCCTAAAAAGAAAATACAAATTTAACAAACAAAAGATAAAACCTCACAAGACAAATATGTTTGCACAGAATAAGCACTTACCCGATCTACATTTGAGCAAAATAAACAATGTAGCTCACATGTGTGTTTACAATAAAAAATTTGACAAATTAAGCACTAGAGAACTCTTTGATGTTGGTAAGTTTGTTCAATATGATTCTTGTTGACCTTGGGAAGCTTGACCATCATTTTATACATTCTTTAATATATTTTTCAAGTTAATTTAGACTTTTAATTATTTTTAATAAATTCAATTAAGTTCAAAATCAATTTTAAAAATTCATTATTATATCAAAATCTTAATTCAACACAAATATTACATTATAATCGTTCCACATTATTAAAATTTATTATTATTTCAAATAAAATTATTATACATAAACTTATATACAGATCTAATTTGATTTAATCCATAAAACCTCTATAATAGAGAGATTTGACAAATGATTTCACTAAACAATATTATGTGTTAGTATTAGGTACCAAAGACAGGTTCAAGTCCTCCTCATCATCATCATTTCAAAAAAATTTGTAACGATCAAGATTTTTTTTAAAACGATTAACAATTAGATTCAATTTAATATTTGAGATTTATTAATTCTAATTTCTTAAAACTAGGTCCCGTCTTTGTTAAAATTTATATATTTGATATAATTTTAGTTTAATAATATTTTGACTTATATAAAAATAACTATTTAAATTTAAAAAATATAAAAATTTATTAAATATTTAACTAAGTATGGGTCGAACTAAAGAATGATAAGTATGTGTTCTCAAATTTTCGGTCTAATTACAATTTAAGTTTAAATATTAGACAAATTAGTTATCTTTTGAGGTTTTTTTTTAATTTAGGGTGAATACAAAATAATATATATACAAATACTTTCAATTATTTGACAATGAACACTCATACCCCTACATACGTGCTTGAACTCAGAACTTCAATGATAACAACAGTCCCTTAATCACTAAGATCACTTGATTCATGCTGAATTTCGAGTTTAAATACATAATAAATCTTTATATTTTTTTAAATAGTCTAATATTTAAACCTCTGTTAATATTTAATTATGACTCCGTTACTGATTAGCGGTAAATATCAGAGTTCAAAGTTAAAAACTAACAAGTTGAATTTGATTAAATTGAATTAGTTGAATATTAAATTGGGCCTAACTTTTTTCTAAAATAATTGTTTAAAAATTTAAAATATTACACATAACGAATTTGAAGCTTTGACCATTATAATTAACGACTAAATATTTTATATATCATGCTTAATATAATTTCGAAATCAATTGATTGATTGGACAAATAAATAAATATATAAAGGAAAGTTGCCCCAATTGTTTTATTTATTATTAATTTGGGACCAGTGAGTTTTAAAAAGGAATAAGCTGGAAACGGAGGGTGCGTATTCCCGTAGGCCCAACCGCGTGTAGAGATGTGACACTTTTAAATCCTGGTTTAATGTATTTCTACCCAAATTTTTTCAATGTATTCAATTCATGTGTACATTAAACCTAAATAAATTATATGAATAATGCTTGTTTTATATCAACATTCACTCAAAATTAATGAAACTAATAGTTGGTCCCAAGCTATAGGGGAATAATAATAATGGAGAGTAATTTGTGTTGATCCATGGCAAAGTGTTCCGATGGTTTTCCTTAATGTGTGATTCTACGTGGAACACATAGTTTTATATCTGATTTAAATTTTTAGAAAATTATATTATACCCTACCATTTTACATTTATTTATATGTGATACGTCCACATTCAAATAAATGCATTTGAGGAAGTTTGAAGGGGTAAACCAGCGAGGAGAGGCAGTCGGCCCAACATATCATAGCTGGGATTCATATTCATCTCTCTATCCCCCACGTCCCATTCACTCACACCTACATTCTCATTTTTCATATTTCTTTTATTTTTATATAGCATGTGTAAAATACACTAATAACTTTATCAAATAAATGGTATCTCCTTAAATGAATTTATACCAATTCACAAAAAAAATAACGGATATCTTTGATGTTTCTTTTGTAGCAAAAATATTACCCAGAAAGAAACATTTTGTTGTTGTTTTTAATCCAATTATATAATCTGATAAAATCGACCAATGTCGTTACTGTTTTAATAATAAAGAGATATATTGTTGTTTCAAGTCTATTTTTTTTACATAAAAGTTTAAGTCATGAATGACTTACCCAGTTTAAGATATACTCAAGACTCAATTGAGATTTACATAAAAATTTACCGACACTCGTTACCATATTCAAGTCTATTTCACAAAATTCAAATCACAATCCACAATTATCACTTTGAAATGGGATTTTATCACGCTTGTTACACTTCATTTTAAAATTTAGGAAAAAAAATTGTCGCTCTCTCTCTTTCGAGTTTATGTGAGTCTCTAAAGATCAGATTAATTTTTCTTTAATTTTATTTAATTAACAGTGATAGTGATTTTGATATTGATAGTTAACTGTCAGTTATTTATAAGAATAATTCTATCTTTGTAACACGTTTTTTTATATTTTAGTGGCATGTTTTTCGTTTTCATTCTATCGTCTGATAATTCTTTTTATTTTATTTTTTAGAGTTGGATTTGATGATGCAACGAGTGATAAAATCACGCTTATTTATAATAATGTTGATCTTCCCTGCTATGGCCCCTCAGATTAAATTTAGATACACGATTTTACGTTTGTAGATAGTTTCTCACGACGCTAGATTTAATTTGTAGTTCTCAGTGGTCTTTCAATGGCTTAATCATATTTTGTGGTTTATTTGTCGATTCAGTCAGATTTGTTCGTATCTATTTATCGTTCGAGTCTTTTAGTTGGGTTTTAACCTTTTTCACGTATAGTTTTTACATGATCTAAAGTGATTAGTTTCTTGTTTTAATGTTATAGTAAAATGTCCATATTATATATTTACTTTAGAATGTTAATTGTAAATCATATTATAATTGTGGACATTTTTTTTATATTTTAATAAGACTAACTGCTTCTATTAAAAAAATTGCTTACCACATAATTTACAAAAAAAAAAAAAAACAAATATGAAGATGTTAATAAATGAAATCAATCAGGCTTGCATATATGTGGAATGATAATAGTGTTTGGTTTGGATCATCACTACCTTGACCATTAAACTAGTTGCATGAGCTCGAGAGTCGGGACCCGGCTAGTTAACAGCCATTGCCAGTATCACCAAGATCAGTGGAAGCCTGTCCATATAACTACTGCCTTTAAACTCCGGGACCGCTTGTCAATTGTCATAGCTC